AAAAGTTAAAAAATTAAGCTTATTTATATAAATATTCCTATATACCAGAAATAAACTCAAATAGTACATTAAATCAATATTATTTTAGCAAATTGGTTTAATCCAAAAGTTCAGTTCGTTAGAATAATAATACTATTATATCTAAAGAATGATAATACTATTGTTCCTTAGGTACAATAAAATAATTGTTCCTTAGGAACGATAAATGCATCATATTTTAGGAATGATAAAATAATTATTTCTTAGGTATGATAATACAATCATCCCTAAGGAATGATAAAATAATCATTCCTAAGGAACGATAATACCATTGTTTCTTAGGTATGATAAAATAATTATCCCTAAGGAATGATAAAACAATCATCTTTATGGAACGATAAAATCATCATTCCTTAGGTATGATAAAACTATTATTCCTAAGGAATAATAATATCATCATTTCTTAGATATGATAAAACAATCATCTCTAAGGAATGATAAATGCATCGTTCCTTAGGAATGATAAAATAATCATTTTTTAGGTATGATAATACAATCATCTCTAAAGAATAATAAAACAATCATCCCTAAGGAACGATAAATGTATTGTTCCTTAAGAACAATAAAATCATCATTCTTTAGGTATGATAAAATCGTTGTACTTAAGGAACGATAAAACTACCATTCCTTAAGTATAATAAAATTGTCATACCTAAGGAACGATAAAATGATCATTTCTTAGATATAATAATACTATCATCCCTAAGGAACGATAAAACTATTGTTTTTTAGGAATAATAAAATGATCGTTTCTTAAGTACGATAATACAATTATCTTTAAGGAATGATAAACTCATCATTCTTTAGGTACGATAAAATTATTATACTTAAGGAATGATAGAATCATCATTTCTTAGGTACGATAAAATCGTCATATCTAAAAAATGATAATACCATCATCTCTAAGAAATGATAATACCATTATTCCTAAGGAATGATAAAACAATCGTTCCTAAGGAATAATAAATGCATCATCCCTTAGAAATGATAAAACCATCATTTCTTAGGTATAATAATACAGTCGTTCCTAAGGAATGATAAAACAATCGTCTCTAAAGAATGATAAAATCATCATTCCTTAGGTATGATAAAACTATCATTTCTAAGAAACGATAATACTATCATTCCTTAGGTATGATAAAACAATCATCCTTAAGGAACGATAAATGCATCATTACTTAGAAATGATAAAACCATCATTCCTTAGGTATAATAAAATTGTTATTCCTTAAATATGATAAAATTGTTATACCTAAGGAATGATAATACTACCGTTTCTTAGGTATGATAATACTATTGTACCTAAGGAATGATAATACCATTGTACCTTAAGAATGATAAAATTATCGTATCTAAGATACGATAATTACATCGTTCTTTAGGAATGATAAAACTATCATATCTTAGATACAATTATCGTATCTAAAGAATAATATAATCATTCCAATCAAATGTCAATTGGTTATAAATAAGATAGATCAAATTTTGATATATACCAATCAGCTATAAATATACCAATTGGCTATAAATAAGATAGGTCAAATTTTGGCTGATTCTTGGCCGATTTCTAATGTATGCCAATTGGCTAGGCTGATTTTTGATAATTTGCTAAATTTAGGCTGAATTTAGGCTGAATTTAGGCTGATTTTTGCATGTCTAATTTTTTTGATTTAACCAGTGTATAATAGATAGTAAGTTATTTTTATTGATTATTAGTATTTAAATATACTTGTTATTATAATTTAAAGTCAACTAAATTTTTTATTTAAAAAATAAATTTTATTAGGGCGTAAGTTATTTTTATTGATTATCAGTATTTAATTACACTTGTTACTGTAATTTAAAGTTAATTAAATTTTTTATTTAAAAAATCCTATAATTTGTAAGTTATTTTTATTGATCATCAATATTTAATTATACTTGTTACTGTAATTTAAAGTCAACTAAATTTTTTATTTAAAAAAATAAATTTTATTAGGACGTAAGTTATTTTTATTAATTATCAGTATTTAAATATACTTGTTATTGTGATTTAAAGTTAACTGAATTTTTATTTAAAAAAATAAATTAATAATATAATAGATGGTAAGTTATTTCTATTGATTATCTGTATTTAATTATATTTGTTACTGTAATTTAAAGTTAACTAAATTTTTTATTTAAAAAAAATAAATTTTATTAGGTCGTAAGTTATTCTTCGATCTGTTAATATAATTTTACATACTAATAAATATGAAAGATAATTAACAAATCAAAGAAGGTTAATAACTAATCCAACTTTACTTTTAAAAAAAATAACAAAATTTGAAATATTTGTGTTATTAATAATATTGATTTCAAAAATAAATCCTTTACTTTTGATAATATATATGATATAACAAGATCAACTTCACATGCTATTTTAAGAATGGTATTTTAATTTGAAATATCAAAAACTATTAAATCAATTGAAGTTAATATAATATAACTTAATGAATCAACATATTTATTTAATTTAAATTAACTTGCTAAAGAGACTTTAATTGAATTTCAATTATTAATTAATCAACTTCTTAATTGTAAATAAAAAAAGATAATTTAATAGAATATGATAAATTTGATTTAAATATTATCAATACAAAAATAATTAAATAAATAAATGTTGGTATATATTGTTTACCATCACATATTATAATACTTAAAGCAGGAGAAAATCCTAATAATGATGAAGAAATATTTGTTTCTTATAAACAATATGTAGAAATCTGCAATTTTTTTTATAGAGTTATTAAACTTCATCAAAAAAATTCAAGAATTAAATCTCTTTTAGGATAATGGTATATATCAAAAGATATATGTAATATTCTTTTAACAATCTTTTTAAGTTATGAAATTTATAATCTTGCTGCTGCATTAGGTATAAAAATTTTAGATAAATTAGAATTAGTAGTTGATTATCATTCTACTTGTCAAGTATTAGATTTAATATGGTTAGTTATAGCTTGTACTATTCAAATTTATATTACAGATAAAGGAATAAATATTTTATAAATAAAAGAAGGAAATAATGATTTACTTAAAATATGGTATAATTTTTATAAATGATATAGTTGGTAAAAAGCTCATCAAGTAGGTATTAGAACAGAAAATGCAAATATACAACTTAAATGTCTTGTAACATTTTACTTCACTATTTTCATTTGCAAGAAAACTAAATTATACTAAATCAACAGTTCATTTTTTGGCTTTATTTGCAAAATATCTACAACTTAAAGAATTATTACATTATATTGGATCTATTAATTTAATAAAAAAAGGTCATTATTTAGCATTTAATGAAATACTTGAAACTTTTGAAGTAAAATTTATAAAACAAAATATTATAGGTAATATTATTAATGAAGAAAATTTAAAAAATCAAATTAAATCTGCATAAACAGAAAGAAAAAGAATAGAATTACTTTTTAGTGAATTTATTGATGATAATATAATGTCAGATAATAAACATTCAGTTGATAATAGACATACAGTTCTTTGGAATTTAACAAAACTTTAGTAGAAGCTTTTAGTTCAATTACTCCCTTAAAACATCTACTTTTTAAAAATAATAGTCAATTAAATTATGAAGGATATCAAAAATTATATAAGTGTTATAATATAGGATTAGAAAGATTAAAAGTAAATAAGAAATATTACAAATAGAACCAATTAATACTAAAGGAAGAAAAGCTAAAGAAATAATAGTTAGTAAAGTTAAAGATATAAAAAAATCTGAAAAAGAAATAGAAAAAGATGAAAAAAAAATAATTAACAAATTACCAGAATAATATCTACTCAAAAAGATAATAATGAATCAATATTAATTGAGCAGTTCTCTCAGAATATGCCAAATCTAAATATTATAAATATTAAATATTGAGTATACTTCTGAACTATTGTCAAAAAAACAAAAGGTCATATGTTATCAAACTACTCAGGCAGAGAAAGATCTATTAACACCATTATTAATACCAAATTCACCTACAGAAGAAGAAATAGAAGAAGTTTTAAAAGAATTAGTGCAATTTTGGAATGGATAGACAAAAAAGAAAGTGAGAGATTATTGGAGTCATCACAAACCAAAATTATAAATATAAATAATATTAAAAAAAGTATATTTCATGTTAGCAATAATATATAACAGTAAAAATTAAATTTATTAAAAAAATATTTGATTTTCGCGATATTATATAAGAATTCTCTTTCTAATAATTGTTTCTTTCCTTCTATATAGTCTATAATTCAAAGCAGAAAGAACTTTATTTTATTCTTTCCTATAACATATTAATTTTAAATTAATAAAAAATATATTTGCCATTACTTTTTTCATTATTATTTAATTATTGTTCTTAAACTTCTACATATTTTTTAATGATTTTTATTAATAGTCTATTTAGCTAAAATGGAATCATTCAAGAAAAAGATAAAATTACTTACTTTAATAAAGTTGTTATTTCCGTCAAGTTGTCACCATAAATTTTTATAATTTAAAAATTCTTTTTTTTATTTAAAAAATCAATTTTTTGTATATTACATAAAATCCAACTGAACGGCACACTCTACAACTTAAGAGAATATTCTTCCTCCCATAAAATTACATATATTTTTGTTGTTAAAGTTGTATATTTTTTATCTACTTGTATTAAGATCTTTAAAAAACTTAAAGCGAAATTTCGCTTAAATGTAAAAAAAAAAATAATCGCCCAAAAGGAAAATCAATGGTTTAGAATCGATTAACACATGATGATCTATCAATTTCTTAATTAATATTAGCGATAAGTATAATATTTTGCGATAGTTAACTATAGAGTAAAGTACTCAATTATAGTTACACAGATTTTTTTAAATATAAAAATGATCTGTGTGCGACATGTCTAGCGTAGCAAGATATAAACGCGCAGCTACACGCTCTTTACGTACTTCTCATAACCTGACAACACAACATGGACCAAGTCGAATCAATGAACTTTGCAGTTCAATACGCAAAGGATCACCCTGAGGCAACTGGACAACAAGTTTACGCTGCATATATGGCATCTAAACAGGGTAAGCGAGCAATGAAATACACGTTTATTGGGAGGATAGTGAAATGCATTACGATTTGCGTTGGGGTTGGGACATAGAGCAGAGTCGTAGCAAAGGTTTATACGTAAACTCGTTTGAAAGGCAAACAAGCAAGATATGATACGTTTGGTTAGGTGGAGTAAGAGAAACGGAGGGGGAATAGTTCGAATGCTGTTACAGCATGGCACTTAGGTATAAACAATTCTTTTATGAATTCTTCTAGGAGAGAAACTAATTTCGAAACCCACGCATGAACTACCGGAGAACATTACAGGTTTGTTCTTGTGTTTTGGCTTTTTTAAAACTAATAGGGTACTAAGTATCGTTTTTTTAGTCTGGGACAATGCATTCAAAATTGAGTTTCAAGAGCCCGCCAAGTTCCTGACTGGGTTGATTGACCGCTTAAAAGAAGTCGCCAGTGACAGTGTATCTTACAATTACTTGGCTGTTGTCCAGTCGTCTGGCTACGGGAAGACCAGATCGATTTGCGAACTTACATCGAAAGGGATTCCTCTAATATATGTGTGTTTTCGTAGCAAAGGTTCAACCGGTTATCCACCGGCAACGCCGATGAGTGATATTATGTTGAAAGAATTGAAGGCTGCTGAAGATATAAATACTGCCCATGCAGCATCAGGACAGTGGATCCGGGCCATGATGAAAACATATTATGAAATGGATCTGTTCTCAAAACCTGCGGACTTACTAAGTAAAAAGGTCAGATAACATACACAGTTGCTAATTGTTACTATTGTTATTATTATGCTAAACTTCTTCTTTTAGGAGTCAGAGGCCGCTTTCTGGAATAAAGTTTCTGATAGTAAAAAGTGGATTGTTGAGAATAAGATTTCTGGAGAAAAGTTGGGATTGAGCACAAGCAAACAGAAAATACATATCTTTTTCGATGAAGCTTCTTCTTTACTCAGTAAGTGCTAGCTGTTCTCTGGCGAACACGTATTTTTAATTCTGACTCATGCTCTGATTCTTTTTTGTAGATAAAGATAAGACTAATTATGGAGAAACAAATATACCGTTTAGGGCCGTTCGTCGAGCACTCAGAGATAATCGCCTTTATGTAGTTGGGATCTTAACTGACACAAACTCTTCCGTTGTCAATTTGGCGCCCTGGAAAGAAATGGACCCTTCAGTAAGCATAGATGATCGATTGTCTTACTTAATTGAATTGCGCAAAATTTTAATGCATGAGAACTTCTTTATTCATTATCCAGGCGAGAGACTATAACCTTGAAACACACAAACCGTTTATCTACATAGCGACAACAGACTGTTTGAGGTTTGTCATCTTTGTTTCTTTTACGTGACTTTTGTTGTGGTGATAACTTATCCAAGTTTTTTATAGGAACGTGAACGGAATCCCACAGATAGAACATAGTGAAGGATACGATATTATCAGATTCGGTCGACCACTGTGGAGCTCTTATTGGTTAGCGGCACCTGATGATACCGACAAGTTTGACAGTGCGGTGCGGCTTGCAATACACAAACTCCTTGGTGGAGCATCCGCTTGGAGTCAAATTGAAGATTATAGGCTAAAACGTACAGCAGCTCTCGCTCTAGTTGCCTGCATTGCCTCCCTTTATGTTTCCCCGACCTCAAGCGAAGCATCAGACCTTGTCAAGGCACATATGGGCACACTTGTCGCCATTGATAAAGAACGGAAGAGGCTTCTTGTTACATATCCATCAGAACCAGTTCTTTCTGAAGCTGCACTCGAAGTGCTTTCTGAGGAAAATAGTGAAGTTGAAATTTTGAGGGAACTGGATGGAGCCTTCCAGTCTGGTGGTATTCTGGAAGCCGGATGCCAGGGCGAGTTGGTCGCAAGATTGTTGGTGTTGAGTGCTTGGCGTCGCTTGATATGCCACAAAAGATGCGAAGTGAGAGTATGTATTAATTTTTTGAATAAGCATGTCTTTGTCATTATTATCAACTCATCTTTCTCTTCCGAAAAGGTGTCATTCTCGATTCGTCAGCCGGTCCTCGACTTTCTGGATGAACTAATAGTGAATTTTCCAAGGAAGAAATGTTTACAACTTGATGGTTTTAGAATAGGATTCTCTCATTTTATTTCCCTTACTTATGAGCCAGATAAGGAGACTTGTAAGGAGATATGGAACCGGCGTGGAGCCATTGTCTTCAAACGCAATCAAAAAGGCGCAGATTTAGCGATACCAATTATTCGTGAAAGCGATAAGGCCTTGGGTGCTCTGATTTTTCAGGTATAACGCGAGCGGGGTTTCCCGTTATAATGATCCTGCACGACTAACAGGGGTGAATTATGTCTGTAGATTAAGAACTACAATAGTGCAAAGCAAAATCGATTTGAGGAGACACATGCTGTCAAGACGTTATTATCACCCGAAGTGATGTTTGCTGACGATTGTTGTGCTGATATTGAGAAAAATTATCTGGGTATTTTCGTGCATCTTGGTAAGAACAGTTTAACTTTGATGTCTCTTTGCATTCATTCATACAATACAATGGTTACACCTATATTGAATGGTATGGTTTAATTTATCAATATTTTATACCTTTTCAGGGTCTGCTTATGAAAGTGAATCTGGGACAAACGTAAGCAATTATGATAATGGCAAGCTGTCCGAGGAATGTGATTCTGGAAATCGTCTCATTATCCATGGCCTGAAGGCCTTCAAACTTGACGATGACCATGAAAGCATTTTTAAAAATCTTTTGCGTGCATGGAATGACCCAGGCCGGCTATGTGTTACAGACATTGAAAGGAAATGTTTATATCAGCTACTACCTTGTGTTTATTCTAAGAAAAGGTATATCTTTGTTTATTTAGACTTTTGTTAGTCTGTGTATCAATATCAGCTAACCTTTATGCTAATACTAGCAGGTCGTTGGATGAAGAAACAAAAACAGTTAAGAGGACAAGACCAAGGAAAAAAGACAAAGGCTGAAGCAGTAAATAAAAGAAAGGCTATTCTTTCGGGCTCGCTTAAAACTAGGATCTTCATTATCAATACTCTTCTAGTTATCCTCATTTGGTCTCCTTTTAGATGATTGTTACTAGAGAAATTAGCTAATGAATAATTTCTTTTGAAGCTATCGTATTTGAACATTTTACATTACAGAAGTAAGGCAAAAAAACGAGAAGTTAGATAAAGTTTTAAAAAATAATAAAAATTATATATAGGAATACCCGTATATGGAAAATTGTAATTATAATGGTTCGACTGAATATGAAAAAGCAATACGTTTCTTGGAGATAGGCTGCAAATGTGGTTATTCAAAAATGATTCCAAGAGAAAAGTTTGCCAAATTATATGAAGCGTTTTAAACTCTCTCTAGATCTGAACAAGATATATTTTTAATGGCCCAACTGAAAGCAATGAGTAGCGGAGAAATACCACCAATTGATGTCTTAAAAAGAAAATGCGTATTAAAAAAAGAACTTTTTATTATTGAGATCGCAATATGCTACTTTGTCAGAAAACGTATCTCAATATGTTAGGACTTAGTCGCACTTACTTCGAAAATGTTAGAAATAATCTAGCAACGAATGGGACATTAAACGAATACCAATATGACAAATATTTTAT